CACTATTTGAAGATGTTATTTTCTAATTTTGCAATGGAAAAATCATATCTAAAGGTTCATCTCCGGTGCTGATTTCTCTCACCTTATGAAAGAAGAGTGACATATAGCTGCCTCTTTGTATATACACTGTGCCTATCCTCGCTATATATACATATATTTATTCAAGAAGATAGCTTGGTTAAATCATGCAAAAAAAAGATGGTACATTCTTGAGAATAGGTTTTCCCTTTTTTTCTGGCAACAAAACAGGTGTTAAGATGTTAAAACACCAAACCGAAACCTTTTACAAGGAATCATGTGTGCATTAACCACAATGCTTGTGGTCAGAATGCAAACAAAAAACAAACTCTGATAATACATGCTTTGTCCTTGAAACTGATTGGTCCACACCAGAGACAGCTTTCTTTTGAGCCTCGTCTCAAAACGTTGTTAGACCAGAGGATGCCAAAAGGCGAACACAGCCCAAAGACAATGTCACTATCAGAGTAATGGGAGCTCGGGTTGAGCATCCACATCATGGGGCCTCCTTTGCCATTACCAAAATATACGTTTCAAAGACCATGCATATATTATCAGAGTATGTTTTTTTTGTTTTCATTCTTACCACAAGTACTGTGGTTAATGCACACGTGATTCCTTGTAAAAGGTTTCAGTTTGGTGTTTTAACATCTTAACATAACTGTTTTGTTGCTATTATCATATTTTGGTACTGGCAAAGGAGGTCCCATGATGGTACAATCTTTTTTTCGTAGGGCCTTTAGTTTTTGTTGGCCCGAGGCACAGTGCCTACTGCGCCTATTGGATAATACGGCCCTGACCCGTACAGGGTGCACACAGACAGGGAGTCGAACCCAGGTGCTACTTCCTCGAGACCATGTCACGAGGGGGTAAAGTGTACAGCTGCCCCCTGGCAAGGGAAACATTAGCATCTCAGCAGGACTCACCTGATTCGGGGTTAATGAATGATTGCACATTTATCATACTTAATTAGGAAAGCTAAAAGAAAAAAAACGTGCACTCATGTTTTATGCAGATTAAACGAGGCGATACTTTATATATTCAATCAAATCTGTAATATACCAGAAAAACCTCATGATAATAGAAAAAAAAGTCTTTAGTAAAACTATTTATTAATGAGCCCTAATTATGAAATGAAACATAAGTTAATTATGTATACCTATTTGTCAGGTCTGTCATGGGTATTCGTACATTAAAAGTGTATTCAACGAAATTACAGGTGATGTGTGTAAAAAGTATAGCATTTCTAAATACACACACATTGTCATTTTCAGTGTCATTGCTATTAATCATGCCCTTGCAATGAATATGTAACTACGTGCAACGAGAGAGCTGTTCAGCCCAGTCTGTCTCCAATGATGAGCGCATCCCCGGCAATATCATACACATCTAAACAACTGCACACATATTATGCGTACTTGGCATGACACGATACTGTGATGTTCCCAAGAATATAAGTGAGCGCCACGGTGGCGATGTTAACTACCTCGCCTCTTATGGAGGTCGTTTCGATCCCGACCCGAACACGTGTGTATTTAGAATTTGCATGTTCTCCCCGTGGTCGTGTGGACTTTTTCTCCCTCTCCATTTAGAAACATGCGTTCAGAGTATTTGGCTGCTATAAAATTCCACATAAGCCACTTCTTTGAGCCATCATTTGTGGCTAGGTCGATTCTGAAAAAGAGCTATATAGCTCAGTGGGCCTGACCTGGTAAAAGATACAATTTTGCGCTCATTTAAAAAAAAACACCTTAAGGAGTGCACAAAAAATTACTTAAACACGTGTTATATAATGCACGCGACGAAATAACAATGGTAAAGTCTTAGAATGGATAATGTTGTTACCAATTGTGGTCGTAAAAAAACTACTTTATACATGTATTGGTATTGTAAGCCGGCTGGTTTTGTAACTTCGTGGATGTATATACTGTTTGTAATCCTCAGAATTGTTGCAAATCGGTGCCATTACAAAGCACTGTTCATGAGTATTGTTGGTCATCTTCAAGAAGATACATTTTAAATGGCCTCTACCAGGGGTCGTAAACCTGCGGCTCTTTAAGGACTGCTTCGTGACGTTATTCACGTTGCATTGCGGCTCTTAAAATATTGAGTTATTTACCGATTTCGCCCAAACAAACGGCTCGTTATTTTGGTTGCCGACCCCTGCGTGGCATATACAATTCATGTGTACATGTACTGTACCGCAACACATCCTGTAATGACATCAAGCCTTCTCAATAATTATAATTTACCTTGACAATATTGTGGAATATTTTATTTTTGAGTGATAACCATTAGTCTAAGACACCATTCATTTAAAACAACGTAATACAAACAGCAGACACGGCAATGGATATTATATTGCACCTGAATTTTAGAGGCAAAATATTGAAATATTCTTGGTGTAGGAATAGGTTTTACCCTTTTAGCTGGCACAAAAACTGACACCTTTATTCAAGGCATCATGTTTGCAATAACCACAACACAAGCAGTCAAAATGCAAACAAAAAAGACAACTCTGATAATATGCAGTCCTTGAATTTGATTGGTCCACACCCGAGACGGCTTTCTTTAGAGCCTAGTCTCCATTGATGCCTTGATTAAAGGTCAGTTTTTGTGCCAGTTAAAAGGGTAAAACCTATTCCTATATCTTGTTACTGGCAAAGGTATCATGTAAATATTCTTGGTGTATTGACTCCTCTCAATTGGCCTCCTATGTGCACGAGTTTTCTATACATATGAACGCCTATTTTCCTTGGACGGCTGATCATTTACAATAGCTCCACTAAAAAAGGACCTGACGTTATTGCCGAAGTATTCCGTAGTGCGTTGACACCATTAGGCACTTGTCAAGCTGATCCTTATGGGGCTTGGGGGATCAGGTCAAGAGGAACCGATGTGATTGATTGTGCCCGCGAAATGCCAGTCTCCGTGGGGCCCTACATTCTCCCGTGAGCTCGCTCCGAACAAGCAACACACCACACTAAATGCAGCGAGGCTCAGTTCACTTCCCAAGCACCTCCAATCCAAAAAAGCACGCAATTACAAAAAACGAACCATGGCGACCTGAGATTGTTATACGTAAGAACTTTTCAGTGATGTTCCGCTCTAGTGAGCAATGAGACGGTGTTCATTTCGTTTACAGCCTTGAGCCAATGATGGAAATTAAAACGTTCCGACGCTCGGGGGGAATTGTATACATAAGACCGACATAGTTGACTTATCTACAAAGTTAAACTTATTTTTATCAACCCCATATGGATGATGGGTCGAGTGATCCCCTAAAAATTATTTAAACTTCGAACCTTCCGATTGCGAGCTGCTCACGCGACCATTAAGACGTTATATTTCATAATCAGAAAGTTAACTATTGGTCACTGTGAATTTATATAAAGGAACCCAACTGGAGCTTAAAGTGTCGACATCAATGTTATAACTGGCTTCTGAGTAGACAAAATATTTACAATATTACTCCCTAGATATATAGCGCTCTCATTACACCTCTTGACAATGGCTTTTATTGCATTTAACGTCTTTTAACCCACCAGTTCATGTGTTGGGACTCCTGAAAGGCCGACATTGCATGAAATAAACATGCCTTGCGAAGACGACCATCACGAGAGCTGGAGCGAGGATTCATGAAGAGGAAGTTCCATTGCTGCATCATGGGACCGTGGGGGGATGGCAGGTCAGAGGCCATGAGCCAGTATAGACAATTACAAAAGGTCAAAGATTCACAGCAGTTTGATTGCAGAGCATTCGGAATGTTCGTGCCATTAACCAAACGGTTATACTTTCAAATTACAAAAACAGTGACATTCATAATGAAAAGGTATTTCCCCCCCGACAGCATTGTCATTCCACAAAGTCTGCCCTCGTTTGAAATTCTAATACACTTCAGACACACAAAAACAGAATGTATTTTATTCATGAGACTAAGACTCGTGCTCAAAGTTGTACTCGTCTACCGCATCTCGTCAATAACACGAGATATGAAATTATATTACCGTTGTACAGCCTTTTGGAGGGTCCCCCCCCCCCCCTTCCATATGTAGTGAATAAACTCCGTGACCATAATTACAACTGCCAGCTAAAAAATTACCAAAATAGCCCGCAAAATGTTTGACTTTTAAATATGCCAGTCATTGACAATGTTTGTTTGCACGAAAGATGTGATACTCAAGAGTTTCTTCCAGAAATGTAACAGGCCAGAATTTTTACTTGAAATTTCAAAGCAATGCTTACAATACTTTGTAGACGATGCCTTTATGTCCAAGGCATTTCAACGAGAGTACTGCCACCTCTTGGAATTTCTGCAGGGGGGCAGCTGCTCAACGGATTCCGCTTGCTCACCAGTTAACACTTTGCAACACAAGCAGTTGCTACTCTTTGGTTGTTTCGGTAAAGTCACGTAGGTAAAATAAAAGAAATGAAAACTAAATTAAATCACGTTTCGGAGGCAACACAAGCTTCCGTCTTCAGGTGGAACCCATCACAGCAAAACAGCAATTTTGCTGTTTTCATTTATTGTATTTTACCTACGTGACTTTACCGAAAAAAACAGAGAGTATGAATCCTTGCAGTCACGAAAGCTTCAAATCTAGAAATAAGCAGTTCCATAAACAAAAACCAGTCTCAGGATCGCATTACACTGTGGAACATATGGCTAAATCTGCAGCCTCTGCATGCTGGGATAGCGTATTACCTCCCGAGCACAGCACGTAGATAACATGCAACGTTCACATCTTGCATCTAAATCTGAACTACGACTTTTAAGAAGCAAGTCATTTTAACCTCTCAACCAAAAATAAAAACTGCAATTGCAACGTCACAAGCCTAATTGCTTTTAAAAGAATACATACGAAAAGACATTAACACTTTGCAATGACGATTAGGCAAATGTGGAATTTTAAAATAAGCACCAAACAGTCATTTAAATTTACATTGCTATAAAGATGTTAACCTTTAACTCCCATGTTTGCCACAGAATAGGAAATGTATAGCAAATGCCCCTTACATATAAAAAACAAGATTTGGAATAAGCACGAGCTGTCTCTTCAACTTTGTAAGCTAACAGGTAGTGTGCACATATTGCATATATAGGTAACATGTTTGTGAGATAGTTTCAGCATCTATCACCATAAGTCATGGCATAGTATAACAGCACTGTATGGTTTATACATTTTAGCAGTAGAATGCATATAGTCGACATAAAAACAATGCTTACTATTCAGTTATAAAAGCATCAATATACTAGTGTTTGACCTCTTAAGAATCGCTACAATACGAAACTTTTTGTTCAGTTCAGCAGTTTAAGAAAGCACTGATAAAATGTTTGCATACATAACTCGGCTACGTACATAAGAGTTGCAAAAGCAACGCCTTGGTGTTAATTTTGTTCTCATCGGCAAAACACATCGGTCACATTATTTATGTTTTTTTCCCTCTTTGGGTGATCACATTGTTCGCGAGGCTGCCCAGTGAATGAAGACGAGCGGAGAAGCGGTGCAGAGATGTACGTTTGAAACCACAAGAGTGCCTCCCGGTTGTCGCGCACAAGTTTGAGACCATCAGTTGCCAGTACTGCTCCTGTGCCGCTCGCCTACAGGAAATAAGCAATCGATGCATTTAAAAACGGGTTAAACCAAAATGTCGTTATTTTAAATACTTCAAAAACATGTCCAGTTTTGATGTACAACTGACATATGGAAACATGAAGTACAGTTTATACAATAGCATCGCAATTTTAAAATAGGTGAATTGTCACGATTCTTGGCAACGATGAAATTCTGCGTTGTACATCCCTGGGGGGGGGGGTTCATCCACACATCAGGGGTGCGAATACCAAACGGCTTATGCAAGTCTATACATTGCGAGGCTAAGATTTGTTCCATTTCCAATTCCTTACGGGGCTTACACAAGGGGATTATGTGAAGATAGGTAGGGGGTAGAAATGTTAACACATGATCTTAGTCAATTATTTGTACTTGCATATTGCAGCATGCATGTAAACGTCAGTAATTACCCATTGTTTAATAGTTCTCAGGTCAGTTCACGTGCTTTCGTGCAGTAGCAAGAGACATCATACATGTAAAGTTATCCTTAATAATAGCCAGAATTATATATGAATTCATGTTTGAGGCGAACATTCTGGTAATGTGCAATTGTCTTTACTGTGAAGCAGTGAGGTTTAAAAAGCTGTCAGTAACTTGATGCATATATAGTATAAGCCATGCCTATTATTTCGCTGTGAAATGAAGTATGGTACTTTTAAACATACTTTACCTGATTCTTCATTCTGGGATACATATAGGAATCAAATCACTGCCGAAAAAAGTATTGCCATTGGTTTCCATAAATAAACAATAACTGTGTGCTTGTGCAAATAATTAAATATGTAGTGTTCAAATACAGGGTGCTCTTCACCCACAAAAGCCACACCTCCACCATAACTTCTCCATTATCATCTCTTCTTGCATCCTCCACTAAAGCGTAGGATTACGAACATTATATGATCTTTTTATATTAAAGTCAAATTATTACCTCATTGGTCATAGCTGGATGGGTGTTAAACAACCCTTTTTCTGCATAGCATGTATGGCCCGCATTTTTACCGTTATTGTCTACATAAAACGATAGACTAAAATTAACATCTTATGACAGCTCCATTATTTGAAAGGCTCCATTCACCACCATCACCTCTCACGTTTCCAACAGAAAGCAACGTTTAGAGTGTCACCATTCCTTTAAACACGTATTTGATTTCCTTTAACACAAATCACATGGGGGATATGATGCATAAACCTGTCAAGCACATAAATTGGTTCTAAACATTTAATAACAATGTGTGGAGATTACAAACTTAGCAAAATTGATATTTGATATGAATTAATATTTGTATTATCAATGTATGATGACATTTTTGTATTTGTTTTAATGGCTGTGACTTAAAGGATCAAGTAGAAATGTTCACTGAAGAAATAAAGTTAATTAGAACACCATATCACTGAAATAACCCAGTTGATTTTTTTGGTTAGGCCACAATGATACTACAATAACTATAAGTGCTAACATATACTATGAAACTAACATTACAGTATATTATACTAATAACTGTTATAACCACAGCAATATATTTCCTAACTACCATAACCCCAGAGATTAAGGTGGACAGGGGCTGATGATAATTGTGATGGATGGGGACAAACTTGCACGAAGGTGAGACCAGCAGTGGATATATCATTGGTGATGGTGATCATGCACTTCAGTTATCTACTTTCAGATACACTTTGCTCAAATGTGCGATTCCTTGAAAAGTACATGACTTATTTAATTACTGCAGTCACGAAAGCTTTAAATCAAAAGTACATGACTGCCACGACACCAAATGTGTGCATTATTGCTCTATGCCACACCTCTCATCCTCTTCAATGCAATCATCAAACGACTTGGAGACGTTCTTGAGGTTGCGTATCCCACTGGCCACGTGGTCAAGCTCTTGTTGAAATCGCCGAGGAGTCATAAAATTGCCCCTTAAAAAAACACGCACACAAAAGTTCCAGTGACGCATAGGCTTTCACGACCAATATTATTCGTAATAAAGGTTTTTGTTGGGGTTAGATAGCGCAAGTATAATGTTTTGTTAACCCGCCACCACCTGACGGCCAACCAGTAAGGTTTGTCATGTAAACAAAACGTGCCAACTTAGTTACTACTTCAGCCCACTGGTGTTGAAGAGTAAATCCACAACATTTACAATTTGAGTACTGCAACATTCCTCTGGTAATTACCAGCTGCCAATGACCATGTTTGTTTTTTTAAAAAGCAGTTAGCAACAATGACATCCCAAATGAGCCACTCTTTCAGAATGTAACAAGTACTTGTAAAAATTATCATTGTCCCCCATTGCTTGAGCAAAAATTTGTACTTTTCCTTGTGTGGACTTAACACTTTGATAAATTATACCAAAGCCATTCGTGCAAGTCTCCATCAATGCTGGCCAGGAGGCTCAGTGGTGGCAAGTGGTTCGCAATTGGATGGTTGTCGAGTTGGCAGATTGCCTCGGACCATCCTCCCTCTAGAGAGATGATGATTACCACTTTATGGTCAAGTCTTCAGTAATAACCATATGGATAGGTTCGCCACCACTCAAGGAATGTGGAATTTCCACCACTGGTTCAAGTCTGTCAATGAGATAAGCACCACCTCAATGTTCATTTGAGTAGGAAACCACATTTACTCGGACTTTGATAAAGTACCCAAAATTATTTTAGTCAAATATTCCATGAGACCTTGATGCTTCCCACTGACCAACCATGGCCAATTGCTTTTTTTGCAACAGTACCTTCGAGCAAGGATACTTCTTTTCACCGACGAACCAACAGGAGAGCAGTAAGGACTGCGCAATGCAGCTGCCCGGATGGGTCGCTGGCTCACACCAAGCCCTTGGTCCGTCTTGCGAGAGGATAGGCAGCCCTGCCGGGGAGAGCGGGTGGCCCTGCCCGTGCCCTTCCTGGGGCCGCGTCCTGCTGGGCTGCTTCTGCCTGCGGAGGTCCTACATGGGCCCGCACGCAGTCCTCCCGGAGTGCAGGTTGTGGGTGGACATGGGGAGTCTGGCTCCAGGGCGTGCCAGTTCTTTCTGCCTTGATACGCCTTGTGCAGAGTCTGGTGTCGGTGACATGAAGCATACATTGTTAAGAATTAAAGCAGTGGTTACCATATTTACGGACCTGTTGGACCACTGTCCACCCTCATGGAGTTTTGTAAAAAAAATTAATCGTATCTGGAACGGCTCCACGGACCACAGATTGTGGACCAATGTATGTACCCAATGGCAGAGCCAGGATTTTCAGGTAGGGGGGGCAACCCCTCCAGCAATGAAAAATGATAGAGGAGTTGTTAGTGAGTAAGGAGTTGCTTGTAAGGACTTGTCCCTTGCTTTTTAATAGACGCGTGTGCGGCGATGGCACAGCCATCGATCGAGGGTCGAATTCGAACCGCGTTGTGTGATCGGCAACGCGATCGCTGAAGGTGTTGATGCCTTCAGGGAAGTCTCTGGACTGTATACGCAACTGCGAACAATTATGTGAGTCACTTATAACCGCTTTGCCGTTACTTATTGCCAATTATGGACCCAGACTATTGTCCTCTTATCTCATAGAGTCCCTGGGCACATAATAATATGCTACACAGTGGCAGTCGCAAAATGACGATTTATTAATAATAAACCCCAATGATCCGATCGAAATGAGGGATTTCGATCGGATCATTGGGGGGGGGGGGGGCACGTGCCACCCCACTAGCTCCGCCAGTGTGTGTACCTTACTGAACACAACCTCTCATTTACTATACCCCATCCACGGAGTTTGGGAATGTTATGTCCGTCGTCTCGGTTGGTTTAAATGAAATGGAGTAAACGAGTGAAAGTCGGAGACATGTGCAGAACCTCAGCACAACTGAATACAGAAGTCATTCAGTAAACAATGCAGGTTTTCTGAGTAATCATTAAAAAGCGCCAAACTTCCCCCTCACCTGTCCACCGACAGGTAGAGAGCATGGCGAGGTAAAGTGTGGGCACGTGTATTTCCCTTCAAACACGCTTCGTCTTACGTGCGAGAGTAGCTCCAATCCCCTCTACACACATCATTATGGAGGCCCTACCACACGCAGTTGCGTGAGCAGTAATTGCACGGCCATGGGCGGAGTTTGCGGGGGGGGGGGGCAGTGCCCTCCCCAAACTGGACAACTTTATAACTTTATTTTCAGTAGTTTACAACATTAAAATTAAATAAATTATATTTCTATGCACCCGCGATCCTGAGGGACAAAGCGAACCCCAGCGCTCTCCCCCCCCCCCCCCCAAAAAAAATATAAAAGTCAAACTCCGCCGATGGCCGGACCATTCCATTTAATATGTAAGATTACGGACGAAGTGTACTGATAACACAAGCGACACATATATGCCAATAACAGCAACGTGTATAGAGCAGCAGTGATAACAATAAGATCGCAGGCGGCGAACCTGCGCGAGACCCGCGAGGCCTCCTCCGCGTCCTCGCCGCTGCTCCGCGGCCGCGCTCTGCACGGGGCGAAGCGGCGTACGGAGAGGCGCGGGGCTGCGAGGGCTGCGCCGGGTAGCCTCCTCGGCCTCGGGCTCCTCCAGCACGCGGTGGCCGCCCCGCCATCCCCGCCATGCCCGCCGACCCGAACAAACCGCCCCGACTCCCTGCAACGCTGCCGACATCACGGAGCGTAGACGAAGACGCCGCCGCCGCCGCCGCTCCCGCGTTGATTTCCACCCGCAGTGCCGCGCCAACTCAAACCGTCGTCGCCTTCCGCGTTTGAACTTCACGGCGGCACGCGATTGGTCGGCTCGTTCTCCACTCCTCCCCCCTCTCTCTCTCTGCCTCGCACACGATTGGTCGGTTCGCTTTTCCCCTGCTGTCTCGCACACGATTGGTTGACGGGATACACGCCTTTTCTCTGGGCGAGCAGCTTTTGATTGGTTGGAGTTTTGATTTAAAGCTTCCGTGACTGCAGTAATTCATATTCTTAGCTCTTTCGGTAAAGTCACGTTGAAGGTAAACAAAATAATAATATATATAAAACAATAAAAATTCTCACGACGTTTCGACCATAACACAAACGGTCATCATCAGGTGTGAAAAAAACAACGGCCAGAAACATTTGAAAGAAGTGGCGGTTTGCATTAATTTACTTATTTTTAAACGGTGTATTTATTTATAAAAAACGTCAGCAGTTTGTTTAGAAGGACTAGTCCATCTATGTTCTGAAAAGAGGAGGGGGGAGACGAAAAATTAATGTATGCTGTCTGAAATGATCGGCCGTGGCAGATCATTGTTATAATTCAATAGGCTCACATGACATTGACTTTTCCAAGACAGAGGTTATTTGTAAGCCATCTGGCTACCATGAGAGATTCGTTCATGAGGCTATCCACATATACAAGCACAGAGACAATTTCAACCGAGAAGATGGATTCTGGCTTAGCAATCATTGGAATGATTTGATAAACCATTTCAGGTCTTTATTGATTGTTCACGCTTACGGTGGCTTTCAGACAGCATACATTAATTTTTCGTCTCCCCCCTCCTCTTTTCAGAACATAGATGGACTAGTTCTTCTAAACAAACTGCTAAATCGCGGCGCGTGACGCTGACGTCTTTTATAAATAAATAAATACACCGTTTAAAAATAAATTATATAATGCGAACCGCCACTTCTTTCAAATGTTTCTTGCCGTTGGTTTTTCACACCTGATGACGACCATTTGTGTTATGGTCGAAACGTCGTGAGAATTTTTTTGTTTTATATATATTTGATTATTTTATTGTTTCCCTTCAACGTGACTTTACCGAAAGAGCTAAGATTATGCTTGGAGTTTGCTCTCAGACCCGGCAACAAACGCCATTGGTCGGCCAATTCAAAAAGGATTTCGCTCGCGATTGCAGGAGGAATCCGATGAGCTACAAAGCTCTTTTTCGCAGATTCCAGTCGTGGCGGGTAAGAACGTGACAACAAACAATACAAAAAAACATGACAGAGTACGATAAAATCGTACACAGAGAGATTTGCCCCCACCCCTCCCCATATATAATTTTCCCATATATTTTGCCCGTATCTGATTTGCCATGTATATGGAAGATTTGCCCATATCGTCATCGCTGTGTCGAATAGTTGCCAATCGACCCCACGGATCGAGTAACGATGTGACGCGCACTCCTTCATTTAATTGGCTTAATATCATCAGCAAGATCGGTGATTCGGTCGCATTTCATTTTTTTCCCTTGCCGTTTACAAACAGAAACGGCAAAGAAGTGATTGGGTGGCAATGGCAGCCATGGGGTCATCCTGAGTAACTTAACAATCACTGACACTTGTAAACAATAGTGACGGGACTTATACACTTGAAGAAGGGTTATTGCGCCGATTATTTATTTATTTTATGACAGTGTTATTTTTTCTCCTGGTCTTTCGGGTTTTCCTTCCACATTTGAGGTTATTTAGATGAATTCGCTGCTATAAATGTCCAAATGATGGGCCACTTTGTTGAGCGATAATTTGTGGCCAGGTCGCTTCTTAAAAATATGTTAATACCTCAGTGGGCTTTGCCTGGTAGGATGGCGATGGTTTAGTGTTGTATTTGTATGTGTTTGTGTGATTTGCTTACCTTTCTTGTACTTTGAACCACTATCGTGTTTTATACTATGCAGGCCACCATACTTCAATAGGGATTGCCTTTGGTACGGCTATTTGAGTACATACAAAGGAGAGGAAGGAAAAAGATCAATGGGTTCGCATAATGTGCATGCATAATGTACGTTGATTCTAGATTTAAAGCTTTCGTGACTGCAAGGATCCATACTCTTTGGTTCTATTCGGTAAAGTCACGTAGGTAAAACATAAAACAACAAAAATCACGACGTTTCGGCCACAACACAAGCGGCCTTCATCAGGTGAAGGCCGCTTGTGGCCGAAACGTCGTGATTTTTGTTGTTTTATTTTTTACCTACGTGACTTTACCGAATAGAACCAAAGAGAATGTACGTTGACTCATTCATCTCCTTCCCCCACTTTGCGCAAGAAAAGCGCACAAGTTTGGTCACCACATCTACGCCTCTGTATAAGGAACAAAACAGGTGGACTTCTCCATAAATCTGGCTGTCGCCTGATGAAGCTAGTTGCAATTACCGGCGAAACGTCGTACTCAGATTGTTAATGTTGTGGTTTGGCTTTCCAACACACCGGTGGTGCTGTACTCGTCACAAATTGGCCACGTTCTGTTCACGTGACAACCCTTACTAGTTGGCTGTGTCGGGCGGTGGTGGGTTTGACGACACAACATTTATATATTTACGTGAGCTAACCTAAAAAAAACCTCTATTATGGGTGCTTTATTCTGTTTCTTGTATCGTTCTGACCCCTGTGCCCCTACTGGACATCTGTGAAAAAGAGCTTTGTAGCTCATCGGATTACTCCAGTATACAAATATATCCTATTCTGATGTGTTGAGTTTTTAAAAAAAAGTATTTATTCACATTTTTCAAAGCATCGTACATTTCCAACAATATACATTTATAATTTCTTGAATTACATATTCCACGCATACTTTGTTTCAGTCTCTTGTGGTTATCTCACAAAGGATTGGTCTTGTGTTCTTTGTGGATATAAACTGGCGGGAGAGAGGGGGGGGGTGACTGAAAAGGGTGGCCGGAAGCTGCCCGTGTGGCAGCCGAGAGGACCCCGCCCGCTTGGCGGTCTAGGGGGCATTTTTGGGGCTTATTGGATTGGCCTGAAGTGAAGGAAAGGGGGTCCCATCGTCAAATTTTGCGTCCCAAGTGATTGAGGGAGGCTAGCTGGTCAAGGATGTTACAGGGCACAAGTGATGGGGGGTGCATGGAATTTCCTTTGCACTCAGCATAGAATGTTTGGAAGTAGATAGAGCATGCTGGTAATTAGAAATACTCTGAGGTCTAATGCCACAGGAGTGTCAACTTCTAATCACGGAGGTAAATGGTCGGCCATTAGTACGTTTGTTTAAGTGTTCAGTGATGGTGGCGTAGAATTCTCCCCTGGCCGAGCAGGATGAGAACGCGTGCTCCGGTGTTTCAGTCGTTCCCTGAGGCCACCTGGGTCACTGCAGTGAGGTATCGCTGTCAACGTAGGTATTGTACCGTGCAAAAAAATGTTTTAATTGGATGGTCTCCAGGGGGGGGGGGGGGATCGAGAATGTTTTGAGGTTTTTGTGTGCATTGCACCACTGCCAACGCAGCATCACTAAACAATTGATGTAAACAAGTGTTAAAAGCAGCACTAATATTTAAACAAATGTGAATAACAACCACATACACATACACTTGATATATAACATTTTATGTTTATACTCTCTGGTTCTTTCGGTCAAGTCACGTAGATAGAAATATATAAATAAAAGAACACGACGTTTCGGTCGCAACACAAGCGTCCGTCATCAGATGAGAAAGAATGATCTGCTTTATTTGAAGCTTTTGTGACTTTAGCGAAAGAACCAAAGAGTAATGATCTGCTGTTGTGGCTTTATATAGGCACGGGAGGGGCGGGAAGGGGGGGTTTGTCGAGTCGTGGCTGCAGGAGTTCACGGGGGGTAGGGAGGAGGGTTTGTTGCGTGCAGGGATGGGTGGGGGCTGGAGAAATTAGCATGTTCATGAGCTTGAGTCGTGAACTCCTGCAGCCCCCCTTCCCCCCCCGTGCCTATATAAAGCCACAACAGCAGATTATTATTTCTCACCTGATGACGGACGCTTGTGTTGCCACCGAAACGTCGTGTTCTTTTATTATTTTTTCTATCTACGTGACTTTACGGAAATAACCAGAGAGTATGGATTCCTGCAGTCACGAAATCTTCAAATCAAGATTTTGTTTAACGTAGCCGTATTCCAGTCTGTCCACTAGGTGGCGACCTTGTCCCACGGTTTTAACATTAACTGTATATTATTAATTGGAAAAATATAAACATTTACGCACTAGTGTAATATGCAGCCTACAAGCACAAATAAAACATTCACCACGTAAATCGCCAGATTTGTTTGTGCACTAAATTTTTTCCGTTTTTATTTGTACAATACTGCGGACACAATCCTGTTTTTGCGATGAATTACAATGTGGATTTCTCTTCTTGGTTCTTTCGGTAAAGTCATGTAGAATTTAAATAAAATAATAAAAATAAAACATAAAATATAAATTCTCGCGACGTTTCGGCCACAACACAAGTAGCCTTCCTCAGGTGAAGAGACAGAACTGTCGGGCAGACAGCGCTTCAGTGAACACAGCCAAGCTTTGGCCGCGTCTTTAATACGCTGGGTGGGAGGAGCAGAGAGCCTTGACCAAGGAGTTTACATATCAACAGAATAATTTAGCATTGAAGTAGCTATGTTAATGTGTTTGATTAGCATGATGTTAAAATCAGAAATTAGCATGTAACTGGGGGATTAGCATGATGTTAGTGTGAGGGATTAGCATGTAACTATGTCAGAACTGTGTCGGAAAAAGTGGCGGTTTCTTTTTCTTTTCAACGTTAGCTCCACTGTGGTTAGCACCACGGAAAGCGACGAGCTTTGACCATCTATGTTCGGAACGGAGGAGGGGGGAGAGAAGAAACAGCAACGATGGGCTGCTCTGTCCTGTGTTACGTTACTACTATGCTACAAACTAGACTACTATACATTACAATATTATACCTTCCAATCTAAACTACATTGTATAATATCGTATATCTCTAGCATTATGCATTATATCGATATGCCTCCAACTAAACTTTTTTCTAAATTACACAATTATACATCTTAATATACACTGCCATAGACAAA